GCTTTTTTTTCAATAAACTTGAATTTTGTGCTAAAACTGAAAATTTTAAAACAAACCATGTCATGACAATTTAGTTTTAAAGACTCGAATTTGAGTTTTAGGACTAGATTGTTTATTTTCTGTTTATTTTCTAGAAGACAATCAGACTCGAATTTGAGTTTTAGGACTAGATTGTTTATTTTTATCCCTTTGAGCGTTAAAAAAGAATTAGAAAAATCAAACAATCTCCAAAAATCTAAGCCAAAGCTACTACTAACTAAAATGCTCATTATTTCTTCCAAAATCTTCATTTTAGATGTTTCAAAGTGACTTTTGTGTTTGAGTTCTCTTTTATTAACTATATTTCTCAGAATAAGGACTCTAAACCAAACAAAAACAAAAATTTTGTTACAAAATTTTGTGAATCAAGCTATGAAACGTAATATTCACACTTGATAACCAAGTATTATTTTTTTAGGCTCGTTTTAATACCATTAATTCTCCTTAAAAGTAGAAATCCGACGCTCAAAACTGAATTTGTTTTCTCAAAATTTGTTTTCTCAAGCCTAATACTTACAATAACTTATCAATTAATGCTAGGTTTTCGCTTTATTGTAATTGTTTGTTTTTCTAACAAATTGAAATTTTTGCTCTATTATTGAATACTACAAAAAGATTATCAAGCTTTTTACATGCAATTAGGCTTTTCTTACTATTACTTAAGCTACAATGTGACTCGTAACACCTAGTTTAAAACTTGGAAATTGGATTATAATGTAGAAAAATTTTGCTTTTAATTTTTATTTCTGAAGCTGAAACTTAAAATTGTCTCATAAATTACGCTTCAGAAATAAAATTTTTGGTGATTTTTCAAGTCAATTTAAACAAAATTAAAAAATCTTGACAAATTTTTTTGAAAAAGAAAATGGTATTTGACTTCAATTTAAGAAACTGGATCTTTTTAATTCCTTTCAAATTTTTGTGTTACCCTGTGTTGAAATTTTTGACATCAATTCACAAATTTTAGCTTTTGTGTTCTTAAAAGTTTCCGTAAAAAGAAAATTACACCTGAATTTTGGCTCACATCGCTATAGCAAATCAGATAAATGGATAAAATTTAAAAGCTTAAACGTCAGTTTTCAAATTTATATGTGGTTAAGCGCTTGTTTACTTTAAAATTGATGTTTTGTTCGAATTGATGTTTTCTATGTGTTGTCTCTAGAACACTTTGTGAAACACCACCCTAATTTTTTGTAGAAAAAAAACACTCAAAAGATCCTCCCGTAATTTTAGGTTGTAAGTTCCTAGGGTCTTGCTAAGGAAAAGTGAGACTAACCCTAGAACTAACGAAGATTTTGAAAGAGTGCAAAGACTTTATTATATGTTGGACGTTTTGAATCAATTTTTCACTCAACTTAGGGTAATCTTAATTTGAACAATGGAACACATATTCCTTTAATTTAGAAAATGGAATGTTTCTTGAGCACTTTAGCATGAATTATAGTGATTGGGTAGTAGGCTGAGTTTGGTTTACTGATGATAAAAACGCTTCAACTTACACGTATAGGTTATATTAGATACGTATACGTCAAATTAGTAGAGATAAGTCCTACGGCCTAAGTAGCGGCCTTCGGCAGAGAAAAATTTCTTCGGGAGTTTTTTGAAAATATTAATAAGTTAAGATTTCATGAGCTACTGTCAGGTTGTAACTGTCTTAGGCTGTTAGCAAGGCAAGAATTCGTTATCAAAACTAGTTTCTAGCAATAGAGCTATCGGGCTCTAAAGACAGATACTGCTTGGTCCCTGGGTTAATCAGGTTGCAAACTAACTGACAGACACAATTTCCTAAATTTTTTATTCAACAAAAGTTGCTTTGGTCAGTTGTGGATAATTAATTTCTTAAGGAGTAGCTCTCTGCTGCGGTCGCAACAGTTTATATTAGTAAACCATGATTACTATGACAGGGCATCGAACACTCGAAACGAACGACTTACGATGATGCATCACAATTGTGCCTCCTATAAACTAATTTTGTCTCAGCTAAAACTGCTTTTCAAAGCATCTATATTAACAGTTTAATCAGGCATAACCAATTAAAAAATGTGCCTCGCTGCAATGGTAATTTTGCATATGAGTGCAGCTTTATGTGCCAAATTGGGAAAAATACGACGCCCAATACATCTTCTATTTTATGGTTATTGAAAAACTGACATCCTTGTGATGAACGGTAAACGAGATTTGTTTTAATTATTAAAGGTTCTTACCACAGAAACGGTTTTTGTAGATTACTGCTACAGTTCCTGATTGCATAGTCGCTTAAAATGATTTTTCTGCTGTTAGTGCTGGAGACCTTTGTTAAAACACGTGTTTTCTTTAATTTGCTTCAAATTATGGTGGCTTTGACGGCTTTTTAGTTAATTCAGTTGGTATTTTTTACTCAGCTAAAATGCTGCAAATGACTAAAAACATTAAACGTCAAAATTAAAAAACTTTTTTCAAGAATTTGACTTTTTATTGTGACATAAACTAATTTATTCCTGATGACTTTGACAGTTTTGTTGTTCTTCCCTCTCATTTTTGTTCTCTTGACTGTTTCTGACAGAATGAACAGAAAATTTTTAATGAACAGAAAATTAAAAAAGCTTTTAGATTTTGAATGACTTGTGATCGTCTTCATTGAAAATGGAGTAGTTTTGAGTGTCACAAAAACGTTGAGGAGAAGGCATGACGGTTCTGGTACATCTATGTTGTGCCCAAATCACAAGAAAGTATACATTTTTCGGATTTCTTTAACAATCTACCTCTTTGGTAACTAGTAACGATTTGCCAATCTGTTAAAACAAATTGTTCAATGGTAAAGCATATGTGAACTCTGTACCTAATAACGAATCTTCCCTTTCTTTTTCAAAAATTTGAAAGGAATTAAAAAGATCCAGTTTCTTAAATTGAAGTCAAATACCATTTTCTTTTTCAAAAAAATTTGTCAAGATTTTTTCAATTTTGTTTAAATTGACTTGAAAAATCACCAAAAATTTTATTTCTGAAGCGTAAACTTTAACTTGTCTGATACTGAGGGGAAAAATGAGCTATTTTCGTTACCAGGCTAAACTGTGTATTTTAAGATTTATAAACGGATATCGCTACAAGGACGCTCTCTTTGTTCTTCTTTTGTTCATTGTTTTTCCTTGATCGTGCCAACAAAGTTGTTACAAAATTTAACAAGACCTACAAACATTAAATTGAGCGCTTATCCAGTGCACAGTTTGGCCTCGTAATGTTTTAAAAGGTATTTCTGTTTTAAGCTCATTTGAATATGATATTTCACTTTTGTTAATTTTATGGGTGTTTAAAGATTGCCAGTTTTACCAGTCTGGACAATTAACGCTATTTTATCCGCTTCTAAATTGAAATAAAGCATAATGTTTTTACTAAACTTACGTACCTTTTGTGTTGGGCATAGTGAGTGGCGAGAAGTTTAAAAAACTTTTTTTTTCGTCCATGTTTTCAAAGTGAAGACGGAATACAGTTGCTCTGGCTTTTTTTTTCTTCGAGTATATTTCAAATTTTAAACTAGCCATCTCTAACATAATTTTAAAAATAATTAAAAAGATGCTTTACCGGTGATTTTTTTTCAAAGTTATGGGGGTTTAAAGATTGACAGTTTGGTTAATTTGGTATAATAAACGCGCGATATATTTCTCGCTAATAAAAATTGAGTGGAGATTTACTCTGTCCTAAAATTTGCTCCAATTTGAGTTGGGGCAAGCTATTTGGTCTATTTAATGTTTTGCTGTAAGCAAAATGTAACCCTTTGTTTCTTTACAAGTCGTGTGGGGTGATGATGTATAAAAAAACTCAAAAAACTGTTTGAAATTTTTTTTCAAAAATTTATCTATTTCTTAAAAATCGAATTGCTACATAGACCTGAAAATGCAGTTGGAACCTTCAGGGCTTTGCCCTGATACGAGCAGTCTTGTATCATTTTCTGTTTTGAATTTGGTATCAGTTTTTCAATTGATGTTTGAAAAAAAAACTCTTTCCAAGAGGTTAAAAAGCAGCAGGAATGTTCAAGGCTTCACCCTGATACGAGCAGTGTTGTCGCAACTGTTTCAGCTAAATTAAAGATATTTTATGATAATTTTAATTTATTACTGATTGAGCACCACTCTTTTCAGCGCAATTGAAAATTGAAAAAAAAAAAAAAAAAAAAACTTCCGATTAGTGAAAAAAAAATTTAATGCAATTAATGAAGAATTTAATAATAATAATCATCGTAATTATCACAACAACAATAAAAAATCATAATGATTAATATTATAGTAAAAATAAAAAATATATATAAAGTTGGGTTTATAAATATTTTATCATAGGTCTTTGGTTTCTCTGTTAACAGCAACCATCTGTTAATCTCTTATCAAATACTTCTATTTTATTTGACGATGTCGGCGAGTCTTTCAGGCTCAGTCAAGCATCTCTTCAAAGTCATATGATTCGACTTCGAATCAAACTCCAGCCACCGAAGTCAGAAAATTGTGACTTTCAGCTGATTTTCGGCAAAAGCAATGAAGAGGTATAAAATTCGACAACAGACAAGGCCTACACAGCGAAATATAATTTTTTTTCTAAATTATCCAGTATCCCCAAAGATAATGGCTTTTACTTCGGTTGTCCTTGATTCGCATATCTTATATTATTCTAATTTATGCTATCTTGAAAGACAAATATTCTGGATTTTTTATACTATTCGTATCTGCTTTTCAATTTAACCAGGAAAAACTCAATCGATAAAATTTCCATTTTATGTTTATTGAACTTTTCCCGACTTTCCTTTGAATTTATATTTCAAACATTTCTTTTCCACTATTAGGCCTTACACGACTAAAGAAATTTTGGTCGAACAAAATCTGCTCGACCAATTTTGGTCATGATATCGACCCGGGTTTGACCAATTTTGGTCATAAAATCGACCCGGGTGCAAATTACTAATGACAAAATCACACCGACCCGCTGATGCAAAATACCTCTAGGAAAGTCGTTGTCCTCAACCGGTGTCCCTGAAGGTTCCTCCACGTCGTCATCGTCAATCACAATAGGCGGGGGAGGAGTCACGAGGGGGGAAACATCTGCGTTTATAGTCATGCTGTCCCGTCCACCCTGTCGGTTGATTCCGGGAATGATCAAGTCGTCATTTGATTCGTCAATCGTGTTTTGGATAGGGTCGTCCTCGGCGTTTTCAATCACGATGTAAATGGGCGATGCCAGATTTATTTCCGGTAGCGTTGATGTTCGAGTTAGCAGGGCTTTTTTGGGTCGAGTTTTGAAAAACATTCTTTTCAAATAACCGAAAGGCATTTTCGATCATTAATCAAAGATGGATTAGTTAATTTAAATAAGTTTTTCAATTTTCGGAGGCAAAAAGGAAATAATTGGTCATTTAAACTGATGAATGAATTAAAGGCTCAAAACCACACCACTTTGGATTACAGTTCAGTTTTGTAACAGAAAAACTGATTAACTAATTTGAGAAGCACAGAGCAGTTTTTAATTTTTCCTTTGATTTTTGTACCCTCGAAAACGTTATTGTCTAAAAACGAATAACAACTTTTTAAAAATATACCAAACTAAATGAACTTTGATTTGAAAGCGACAATTGTTCATAGTTTAAATTGTTGATTTGTCGTTTTTTTGTTTATAATGAACAGGAAATGGATGGCAAATGGTATCGAATTAATAGAGGTAAATTGTCGCTTGCATCGTTAAGTATGAGCAAGTCACCACCGCTTCAGAAGAAAATTTCCCGCCTCGGGCAAGCTAATCTTAAAAATTGTTTTCCCTTCGCAAAACCATTCCCTCTTTTGTCAATAACATCTCTCAATGAAATTTGTTTTAACCAAGATTGGAGGCAAAAAAAACATTAAACCCCTACTATTAAAAGGAAAAACGACAGGCTAGTGAAAAATGGTCTAAATACGGAAACTAACAAACAGCCCCGCAATACCACGCAAACAACAATACAAACAATATTAATTCGCACCATACATTTCATTTCCTCAATAATGGCCTTTGTTTTATGATGTAATAATTATTTTCATTCCCTGTGCTGAGCGACACAAAATTATTGGATTTTTGTCAATTACATATGCGTTAATGAAAGGACCGCAAATTGATTCCCGAATAAAAAAAACTCTGTTTCAAAATGTACAAAAAGGGAACTTTTATTGGAAAAAAAAGAAAATAAATGAAGATAAAGCGACATTTTTTCATAAATTATCGCTTATTTTTATGTTAAGGACCCAACGCAACAACAAGCAAGAAAAATTTTTGCGATGTAGCGAAAACAATCAAGGAAAAAGGAAGCTAATGATTAGATATTTTTCCCCTCTCTTTTATCAGTATTTTGACGCAGTGCGTCAATAAATTGTGTCTTTGAACCTTTTAATGAGTTGGTTTTGCCAATCAAAAATCTGTCTGTTTTTTAATTACAGGTTGTAATATACAGTAATTTGGAAAAGATAAAAAACAGTAAATGCACTACTTCCAGCGAAAAAACTGCTAACAATTTAGTGAACATCTTAAAAAAAATAGTTAACTGAATACAATTATTTCCAAGGCCTTTTGGGCTTAAACTCCTCTTTTTCCGGCCGAAAAAAAGGGTTCTCAAATCTCTGGGTTTTGGTTTCATGTCAAAAATATTCTAGATACTGAGCTGTTAAGCCAATTTAAAACTATAGAAAAATGCATGGAAAAAATATCCAGTATTGAGAAAAAGGTTGTCGTTTGACTCGTTTTCCATCGATGTATAGAGGCAGATTAAAGAGGGTTGGGAAGAATCTAGATCCCTTTCATAACAAACCCCGAACTCCGCCCATGTCCAGGCCTTAACCTGCCAGACGCCAAGAAATTATCATACTTTTTTGATCTCCCCTCCTTTTAATTTTCAAGAACCAAAGTTCAAAAGTTTTCTAATCCTAAAAAAAACTTTACGCGTCGAGCAAATTAGAACAAAATTTTGCTATTTACAAATCATGGTGGGCTGAGCGTTTTAGTATTTTTGAAACTGCTTTTTGAAGCTGGAATTCAAATTACTATCACCATCACCCCTAGTCAATTCCTTTAAAGACAATTTTTGCAAAACTAGTTGTGATCAAGAGTTTCCGCGCTAATAGTAGCTTAAGGCCAAGGCAGCTTTTAAAAGCTATGGCTGACTTTGAAGTACTCGCTTCGCAAATTGTGGCGAACGAGCAAATTTTGCAACAGAATCATTATTTTTTTAGCAAGCTTTTCTACCACCTGCGCTTCAATCCCCAAATCTTTGTGTGACAAAAACATGATTTTATCATTAACAACTGTTCTTATTCATTTGGTCGTTTTCCTATTGCATCGTTTCCTTCTTTTTCATTTCATCAAAATATCGAATTTCATAACAGAAAATGATTGTTAACCAGGAAAAAGCTAGGGCAAAAAACATAACCGATTGCTGTGCAAGTAGCACAGAAAGTTGTGAACACAAAAATAAAAATCTAAAAATAAAAAACGATTTCATCTTTTCCGACATTGAGTCGTTTTTTTAATTCGGTATGTTCACAGGGTTTGAAGAAAAGTCTAGAATGTAGGGATATCCAATAGTCACAGTAAGTTAGTAAGTTGAACATATTCAATAACCTTATTTTTTTTGAAAAAAAAGAACAATGAAAAACTAAAAGCAATTTACAAAATTATCAAAAATGTTTTTTCATTTTTTTTTTCGAAAAAAAAATTAAAATTATAAAATTCTATCTCTCTATCTCAAGAAGGGGCTAGAAAAAACTTTCCAAAAAAAGGAAGGAACAAACTTGCTGCTTAAAAGGTTCATTCTTGTTTTAAGCCTACTCGTTGGCTTTATTTGCTCAAAGTTATCATAAAAGGTATCCGGTTTCCTCAACTGTGATAACCCGGTAACCGGCTAACAACTTAAGATATAAGCCAAAAAAATAGGGCAAAAAAATATGTAACAAATGAAGAAAATGGTCAATATAAATCAGATTTTGAGTTCAAAAATATGCATTAAAAATATTAAAAAACGATCAATGTAAGTCAGATACTGGGCAAAAACCAACCTATTAAATAGAGAAAAACGTCTTTAAAAATTAATTTTTGAGCTCAAAAATATCCAATAAAAATATTAGAAAACTATCAATGCAAACCAGATATTTAGCAAAAAAAATGTAAAAAATACAAAAAAGGTCAATAAAAATCTAATTTTGAGCTCAAAAATATGCAACAAAAAATAGAGAAAATTATCATTGGAAATCAGATTTTGGGAATAAACATATGTAACGATTGAAGAAAATTGTCAATATAAACCAGATTTTGAGATGAAAATATGCAATGAAATCATAAAAAATCATCAATGGAATCAGATTTTGGGCAAAAATAACTGCAGCAAAGGAAGAAACTGGTCAATATAAATCACATTTTGAGCTCAAAAATAGGCAATAAATTTATTAAAAAACTGTCAATGTAAACCAAAAGGGCAATCTTAAAACCCCCATAACTTTACTAAAAATGATCACAGATGAAATGCCTTTTCAATTTAAGCTTAAGAGAACAAGACCTTTTGAATGATATAAAAAATTCCGTCAAAAAAGCCTAGTTAAAAAGTCGAAGTTTGTCTGAAGAAAAAAAAACTGACCCCAAGCACAAATATTCCGTTACTTTTTATCGAAAGTCGGAACAATAATAGTAATGAAATTGATTTTAATGGCCAAAAGTTATTGTTTGAATCAAATTCTGAAATATTTATTCCAATCTTATTTCATTATTGTTTCTCATTTTTCTTATTATGCCTGATTTTAATAGATGCTCAACAATTTAATCTTTTTTGGTAATGCAATGGTAATTTTGATGGTCTTTGTTTCTGTCCAAGTTATATTTGAGAAGAACTTGAATGGAAATAACATTTGATTAATCGTAAATCGTACTTACTTAGTTTGTAATCATTTACATTCAACCTTAGCAAGTTAATTGAATCCTTCAGTTAATTTTTGTTGATGCTTGAAAAAATCTACAGATACTCAGAACGTTTCATTCATTTGATTTCCCTATTCCACTAAATTATACATCCAAGTCTAGATCGGCTTTGGGCCGAAGGTGTTTCAAGTCTTCACTAAACTCGGTTTCTCAGCCATATATGTAGTTGCAGTCTAATTCTTTTTGCTTTATTCTGCTTCATTTTGCTTTTTTAAGGTTTTATTTGTGGTTTCACACCATTAAAAAAAGTAATTGGTCTTTAAATTGTTCAGTTATGTAGGAAAATTGATCTACGTCTTCATATTCGTTAAGTAAGATTTCCATAAAAGCAATGTTAGCAGTATTCAAGATGTGTTATAATTAATCAGCAAACACGCTGCTCCAGTGTCTATTATAATTTTGACTTCAAGAACTTTTTTCTCTCCTACAGGATATTGACCGAGGTCAATCTACGCTTGTTTTTTGTGGTTGTCAGAGATTGAGTTAGTTGAAAATATTTTTTCCGCCCTCGTTATCACTAAAGTTGACTTAATTTTTTTTGCCACTGATTTGTACTCTAGGACTTCTACCAAGACTATCATCATCTCTACTTGTTGTTATAGCATTCGTTTGAGGCCTTACTCGGATGTTGTGATTTTTATTTTGCTAATCAGGCTGAGATTTTGCATCAAAATTTTCAAATCTTTTTCCGGCGGTGCTCTTACTGTTTTCAATATTTTATTTTGAGCTTATTCTAGAGTTAGAATGGGGTTGATGAGGATAGTCTTTCTCTAGATGTATGGCTAATGCTATGAGGGTTAAATATTTGAGTAAAACTGTGTCTATATCTTGATAAATCTGGCAGAAAACGATATACAGTTCATGTATGTTTTCTTTTGGGTGCTTATACAAAATGCTTAAATGGACTTTCTGGTTTTAATAATATACCATATATTTTTTGCTTTTTGTTTCCCACCTTAAAAATTCAAATTCAGTGCAGTAAGGGTGACTTTTTTTAAGATATGACAATGTAATTTACGACATTGCTAGGCTAATAATTGTATACTTAGAAAAATGCAATCACAGAAACCGCCTCAGTTTTAACTGAAATTATAAAAATTTAATTTAATTAGCTTGGCTTAGCTAAAAAACTGAACTTTAACGTTTGATTGTCTTGACATGATCTCTAAAAACTAAAACTTTGACGGAAATCTTTGTTTTAAAAAGTAAAAACTTGTTTTAATTAAGCCAGGATTCCAGCGTTATGCTTTGCAGCCATACATTTGGTGAAAAAAAAAACAATTTTTCAACTCGAAAACTACATTTTTTCTAAAACTGAAATTTCATTTTGAAACTTGAAACTTAAATTCTCAACTTTAAATTTGGACTTAAAGAAAGGACGAAAAATTGGTCAAAAGACAGACTAAAGAGACAAAAAGTGTAAAACTGTAAAAATATCAGTTTTTGACTACTGGGTGAAAGTATCTTAGGCTTATGATATTCTTAGTGAAAAGACATGCTTTTTTTTCAATAAACTTGAATTTTGTGCTAAAACTGAAAATTTTAAAACAAACCATGTCATGACAATTTAGTTTTAAAGACTCGAATTTGAGTTTTAGGACTAGATTGTTTATTTTCTGTTTATTTTCTAGAAGACAATCAGACTCGAATTTGAGTTTTAGGACTAGATTGTTTATTTTTATCCCTTTGAGCGTTAAAAAAGAATTAGAAAAATCAAACAATCTCCAAAAATCTAAGCCAAAGCTACTACTAACTAAAATGCTCATTATTTCTTCCAAAATCTTCATTTTAGATGTTTCAAAGTGACTTTTGTGTTTGAGTTCTCTTTTATTAACTATATTTCTCAGAATAAGGACTCTAAACCAAACAAAAACAAAAATTTTGTTACAAAATTTTGTGAATCAAGCTATGAAACGTAATATTCACACTTGATAACCAAGTATTATTTTTTTAGGCTCGTTTTAATACCATTAATTCTCCTTAAAAGTAGAAATCCGACGCTCAAAACTGAATTTGTTTTCTCAAAATTTGTTTTCTCAAGCCTAATACTTACAATAACTTATCAATTAATGCTAGGTTTTCGCTTTATTGTAATTGTTTGTTTTTCTAACAAATTGAAATTTTTGCTCTATTATTGAATACTACAAAAAGATTATCAAGCTTTTTACATGCAATTAGGCTTTTCTTACTATTACTTAAGCTACAATGTGACTCGTAACACCTAGTTTAAAACTTGGAAATTGGATTATAATGTAGAAAAATTTTGCTTTTAATTT